CAAAATAAAACACTTTTACTGTGATTAAAACTTCTCAGAATCGACAAGTAAACACTTACAGTTAACACTGAACACTTAGAGTGATAGTTATTTCCATTTTGGGCAGAGTGGTGTAATAGACAGAGCTGCAGCGTTCATATTTAAACTACTGTTTATTTATTTAGTTTTTTTAGAAAACAACTTTCATACACTATTTTGTATATATACTGATATATTATAACATCAGGTTCTTACATTGCATTACACATTTTAAAGAGTTAGTTCGGTTAAAAGTCAGAGAAGAAAAGTAACATAAAAAGCAGAATTACAAAAAACATGTATAAATAAATTGTTTTCTTGGTGACATCAAGAATAATTAGAATTAAATAATAAAATGATAAAGTCAGTTCTACAACAGACGAATTAGCTCGAAACCAACTGTTTGAGTGTGGTGTCCTTCTGAAGATTCTCCAAAAGGGGGCGCTGTTAGCTATCAGGTTTAGGGTTCTTTATTGAAGTGGTTGAGCCACACCAGCAAGATCTCATACTGCTCAGGTTGGCTGAGGGGCTTGTAGAAGAAGTCACTGTAAAACAGACAACATACAAAGTCATTAATGGTTTACTTGAATATCGTACAAGTTTCAAATGTCCCAGTTTCCCAGTGTGGAAACACACTGCACCATTAGCCTGGTGCTAATACAATTTGAAAATCACATACGAGCTTTTGAGCTTGCGATTACTTGCACAACCTGTGGTGATAGCGAGTAGATTGAGGGCAGAGTGGAGCGATCGGGTGATTCAGTGTTGCATCTGATTTACTCCCCCATGATAACTCATGTTGCGGGCACGCACGTTCACGCAGCACAGAAACAACGGAAAAAGAAATGGGTCATAAAGTCCAAATGATAATCTAATCTGTGTCAAAACGTAGATTTAAACCCATCTTGAACCTTTTCGCTTTCCGCAGTTGCAATGTTGTTGGGTGCTGATTTCTGTTTAGGCAATGTGGCTCCCGAGGACCTGATTCATGAAGGGGAACATGAATTTGAGGGGTCACATGAATTTGAGTGGGAACTGAAAACTAAATCTCAGGAAGAGAAACTATGTGAAGTGAAATTTTGTGTCATCACTGGGATCCAATAGGACTGAATATTCAAGAGTGTTAAACATGATGTAGAACACATCTCTCCAGGGCCGTTCTGTTCTCTGATTGTGGACTGACTCCCCTATAATGTTATTCTGATGTGCAACTCATAGAGGCATGTCGCTTTGAGAAAATGAGATAGAACTGTGGTTCGGGTAAGTGACCAGGCGTGAGTGTCCATCAACCCCCACTGTGGATCACAAGGCCCCATCTAATAAGGAAATGAGAAGGAAGTAGGAGGAGATATAAAGGACCAGTGTGGCTGTATGTTTTCTTTTTGATCAAGCTGGAACACATGTGATTCTAGCTGTTTAATCCATTGGTCTCAGTGTTTAAACGACTGAGCATGTGTGCTCCTGCTTTGTTGGAATGAAAACGTGCAGCCACAAAGGACTAAGATCGATGACAGCCCTGCTCTGTGAGATAATGATGGTACTACTATACAAGAGAGTGTCTTTTTACATGGTCTCTTAATCTCTCCCCTCTCCAGTTCCCTTATTTTATAATTATTTGTCACTTCCTCTCTAAGATGTGATGTGATGGAGACTGGGAGCACTGTTTTTTCAAAATTTCTGAAGTTGTTCACAGTGGTGGTGATGAACCAGATGTCTGACTCAGGAACCAGGCCTCTGAAATGAATGTACAAAAAGCTATTACATGATATGGTAGTGCACTGCCTGATGCTTAAAAAAATGTTTTACAATAGTTCAGAGAAAATATGTTGGCCTCTTTTTTAATCTGCTCACAGTGAATTGCTAAATATAGGCTTTTGTAAAAGGATACACATTTTTTGATTAACTACTATTTTACAGTTATCACCATTACTCAGATGTGTAGGATCACTAGCCATTTTAGATGGCTATCCTTGAGTTGTAGACACCGCTGTAAAGAGATCTAAATTTCTCTACAATTAACCATTTCACATCAAGCCACTCTGAATGACTTTGTTTACATCTCAACAATTGAATTATGCAGAAAATTGTATCAGTGGAATTCCCCTTTAACCCTATCCTAGTGCTCACGAGAGACCTCAGCTCCTGCTAAAGCCATATATGCTAAATATTTCATTGTTTAATGCGTTGAAATGCTGTTCCGCTTTGCTTTTATCTCGCTGGCTCTGCATTCCATTAGAAAATGGAAAGTGCTGAGTTTGTGATTTCCATAAGGCAAATGAAGACAACAACAAAAACTGAAAGCAAGACCTTTTGAAGATATTAACCATGTGGGAGTCATCGAAGCAAGTGAATGTTTTTGTCTAATTCTGGAATTAAGAAGTTATTCATGTTAAGGTTGAGTTTAGTAGAGGCTCGGATTTATTGGATAGAAAGGGATATATCCTACAACCAAAGCAGCTTAGCTAATGCTGCCTCAGTTTTTGTCCAGATATTCATCCTGCCTTGTATAGCTTGCATCCGACTGGTCCAGTAATATACTTAAAAAAAAAAACCTGGCAGAGGCGAGGCACCAAATACCTCTAAGCCCACAGTGTCTGCAGAGTGTTGTTTTCCTCTGGAAATAAAATGTATGTTGTAAGCGTATGTGAACATATAAATACAATATACTGATATACATTTGTGATACTTTTATCACAAATGCATATCAATGTATTGTATTTATAGTTATTGGTTCAAACCATAAAAAACATAATGATCTCTTTATAGGGGTATACTGGCCTAAAACTAGCATTTACTGTTCTTTGCTGTATTATGCATTATGCTGTAGCACAGCATTATATCACTCAGACTTATCATTTTGACAGAATTCCCAATTTTATTGTCACCTAACTATAAGACCCAGCATGCATTACACAAATACATCATATACACACATACAGCTGTTAGGACCCTGTAGTGTCAGCAAATCCTGACTGCTATCCTAGCCTCTGAGCTATAGGCTAATTATACCACAACCAAGTACAACCAAGCTAGAATTAGTGTAACCCTTCTTTTGATGAACAAAATCATAAAGAAAACATAAAGATTCTTCTGTACAAAATCAATTTTTTCACTTTTTCAGACAAAGAAAAGAAGGAAACCAGAGTTAAATGATCCAGATACCCAAGTAGCTAGCTACGTTGCTAACTGTAGCTTTTAGCTGGTCCCCCTCACCCCCCCACATCTGAGTCATTTCTGTTGTTTACTGTAATGATTTGAAGACAGTTGCTAAAATTATACGGCTGCACTAAGATATTCCGCTTCCTAGCAGTAAAGGGACCGTGTTCGTTTTGGCTATCCGATTTTCTACACGAAATAAAATAGAAAATGGGAAACACGAACAGTAGTTCACCGCCTTCAAATTAGCTTCCAATTCACTCAGCTAATGAAAAAATAAAAAATCAAAACAACCCACTCCCCAAAATTCACCACAAAGCACTTGTAAGTTATCAGAAGTTCCTTGCACACCTAAAGATACATCATCAGAAGGTGGTTTTTACAGAGCCCCGCTGGTGACGTCCTGTATAAATAAAAATAATGCATGGCCACGACTTAGTAAAGTATGGGAACGAGATCCTAATGCGTGGCCACGACTTAGTAAGCCGTGATCTCGTTCCCACGTCTTGCTAAGTCATGGCCACGACTTAATCATCTCATTCTCGTGCCTTACTAAGTCGTGGTCACACATTAGGATCTCGTTCCCAAGCGTTAATAAGACCTGGCCACGCATTATTTTTATTTATACAGGATGTCATCATCAGAGCTCCGTAGGTTTTCCTAGTGTTTAAACCGCAAAGTCTGGTAAACTGCATCATTGCTTTCATATCACAAGTGACACATTTATAAATAAATAAATAAACCCAAATCTCCCTCAAAACGCGCATTTTCATGTGCATACTTTCATTATGCTGATATTTGGTCCCCACAAAGAGCTAAATACACACACCAACAGCATCCTCTCTTTAGCTGTATGTAAGTGTGTAAGTGTGTCAGCAGCGCTGCCATGGCAACACGACTGCAGATCAGAGCAGCTCTCCGCCAAGATTTATAACAACCAAAGACATGGCCTTTTTATACTGGTACTCATATTCACTACTGACTGAATTTTATGTAATAATATCTAAGCAGCAATCTGAAATTCAGTGACCTCAAATTATAGGCCTCAAAACACTAAATATAACATTTACTGAGCCCGTAAACACAAACTACAGGCCTACATCGCATTCACTTATAACGGCATTTAGAGCCCACGTAGGCCACTTTTGTGTGAAGGGAGCCTTTATCCGTGTCCTTCTGTGTCTTTCACTCTTTCACTCCTCTCTTGCCTTCCACTTTACTGAAGACGAGGACATCGTCAGACAATATTAATCCTTATTTAGATAATCATTCTATTATTTCATATATAGACATGATTTGCGTTCTTCACAAAAATATGAACTTGACGTGTCCATTTCCAGTGGTCGAGCGACGTTCGAGTAAACGAATATTTATTTTCAACCGGTTCTTTCCAATAAATATGCCGAAAAACTGCTTCGCTGCTTCAAGTCCGACTACACAATACCATTTTGTTATTTTATGTGGCAAAGAAAGTTGACTTAACTTGTGAATTAAGCCTATTAATCATGGAATCGATTCATTGAACCGGACAGTTCGAAAGAATCGGTTCCCAAACTGAATCGAACGTTCCGTCTCTACAGTTCATTTCCAAAGAGTCGGAACGGTAAATTGAATCAAACTTCCCAGCAGCGTTTCAGTGTGTTGACGGTCATGTGAGCAGACTTTCTCTACAGAGAGAGAGAGAGAGAGAGAGAGAGAGAGAGAGAGAGAGAGAGAGAGAGAGAGAGAGAGTGGGTTGGTTCTGGGCGTGACTGTCATTGCGTTTGTCCCGCCCCCTCATTCATTCTGTCTAGACCACGCCCCCGAGCACGCGGCGGTGAGGAGGAGAGGGAGCGGTGAGCGCACTGCTGGGTCCAACCATCACACAAGGGCTGCTGGAGAGAAAAAAGGGACGAAAGGAAAGTCAGCGGTCCTGTTATATTCGGGAATCCGCTCACTTGGCGTCCTCTCATCCTCAGCTGTCTGTCTGCCATTGTCGGGTTATGCGTTTCACCGGCGAATAAACCGGACCGGTGTGTCTCCATCCGTGTCGCGAGGCTTCGGCAGATTGGCTGAATTTGTGAGGTGAAGCCTCTCTGAGGGAGAAGATGGACGCGTTTTTTACAGAGGTAGGCGACAATTCTGACTCACAGATAACCTTGATAGCGAGTTATACGAGCTTTAAGAGACGCAGGTGAGCGTTTGGTGGTTAAAATAGCCATGTTGATTCGAGGGCGTATTACAGGTTAACCTGTGAAAAAGCAGCTGCCTGCACCGTCCTAATAGGCTGCATTTGTTCACACCCACCTTCCACTCACACTGGCCTGGTCTGCCGTTCCCACCCGAGCTGAGCCTTATCCTTCAGTTAATGCTATAATTTCAGATAGTATGTCAGTAAATGGCTATTTTTTTCGGGGTTACACTGGTGGTTAATGTAGCCTGGCTGACAGGGCTGTGGCGCGCCGTGTTGATGGCGGTTTCTGATGAGAAGGGGGGATGGGGGGACCTGTGCCGTGATAGAGACTAAATGCTGTGCGTTTTTACATCCTAAAGCGGACATAAATAAATTATTTAAGTGATAATCGGTAAAAAAAAAAAACCCTGTGAGGTATCATTGTAACTGAACCCAGTATGTTAATGTGTGTGGAATGTCTCCTCAGATTCCTGCAGACCAAAGATGGCTGTGGGTATCTTATCTGGATCCTCCACATCCTCTGACATTGCCCTTGTAACAGCAGTAAACAGGCTACTGATCCTCACTGGCTTTTTGCTTGGCTGGTGAATGAGTGTCATTTTGTGTAAATTGGTGCATCAAATATGGAATCCTTTCTACAGCCGGTCTGACTGTTTTCTGGAGTTATTACCTGGTGTGGAATGGCATGGTAAGCACAAGGCCCTCATAAAGGACCTCATCCTCAATCCAGTGCCTCCTTAGATTCCAGCAGACCACAAATGACTATGTATATGTTATCTGGAGCCCCCAAATCCTCTGACATTACCCTTGTAATGTATATTGTTATACTGGCTTGTTGCTGGGTTGGAGGATGAGTGTCAGTTTATGCAGACTGGTTTATCAAATGTGGAATCTTTTCCACAGCCCCTCTGACCATTTTTGGAAGTTGTTACCTGCTGTAAAATCGCATGGCTCTCAAAAATGACCATCCTCAATCCAGTGCCTCCTGGGATCTCCATGTCATTTCAAGCAAACGAACACACATACGTACACACAGTCTGTCCCCCCATATTACGACATTCCCATTAAGCTACTTATCCCCCTGAGCATGTGTTATCCAGCACTCAGATTGCTTTAACAAGTCTATTTTAACCAGCAACCTGTAGTGTTCAGCTCAGCGAGGCAGGGCTCAGTTCACTTCAGTTAATTTCAGTTTTACATACATGGCACTTTTCACAACAGACATTGTCCCATAAGAGCTTTCCAAAATTTCAGGCCCAGGCTCCAGATGAGCAAGCAGAGGGCGATAGTAGTAGAAAAACTCCCTGAGAGCATGAGGGAGAAACACTGAGAGGAACCAGGATTTAAACCAAGACTCCTCACACCAGATATCAGAGTTATGATACAATTAGTACAGAAGTTGCAAATACAAGTTTCTCTCATTTATTCAATATCAACGAAATAATGAGTATTAACAAAATAAAACAAATCGTACAAGTTACGTTATTTACTCAATATCAGTTGCTGGCTTTCTATTCAAATTTTTAGCAGTTTCCGAAAAGTTGGTAAAGGATTATGCAAATTAATTGCTTAATTAATTGTTTCCATCAACTGTGGGTATGCAAAATTTCTAAAGAAGAATTTGACACCACTGTGATGTATGGAACAAGACAAGTCCCACTCACAGCACATGGTGTATACAGTGGAAGAATCTGATCTGATTTACATTGATATATTAGCTCCAGTTAGAGCAGTGTCCCTTCACCCAGGCAATAGCTTTACACTATAGCCAACTACAGCAGAAAGACCACCAAGACCAAGTGCTTTTACCTCTTTCTGTGAGTTTGAATTTAGCCGTTGTGTTTGTAGATGAAAGAATGACGTGCGGTTAGCCTGGTTTAGCTCCTGTCTGCTAGCCACTGCATTCTGGCAGATAATTAACGTAATGACACGTTTAATTAACATAATGACATGCACATTTACACACATACGACCAGTCCTGAATCCTCTTGACCCTCCTCAGCTTGTTGAGGATGCACAAATCATGTTGTGATGAGACACGTGTTGCCTTTAGGGTCAGAGGTTAAACTCATCACCCAGGGGACGTGGTTGGCCGACACGCCCCTTCAAAGGAGAATCTCCAGTGCTGAATGAACTCTAACAGTGTCCAACTGGACTTATCCATTATGGTATTTTGCTGTGTGAGTAGGTGTCCAAATTTAACGTCTGCTTAATCCAAGAGTGTAGTTTAGGTTTCGTAAGTGAGGCAGACACTGAAGGTGGCAGATTTAGAAAACTGTCACTTTGTTGAAGTTAGTCTCAAATAACTTGCTTCTCCTTTTGCTATCTCTGTTGGTCAGTCCACTTGCTGCCTATCATGTGATGCTGCCAACCTGGAAGGGTGAAGGTTATGCTTCATCCGAGTCCTGTGCTACTGCATCTATTTGCCATTTCTGTTGCGTCAGCTAACAAACACCCATTCTGGGTAATGGCAGGAGAGGGTGGTTCATCCTACCCACCCAGAGAAAGCAAGACCAATTGTGCTTTCTTGGACTCCTGCCACAGATGGCTGAGGCATTGCCAGACATCACCTTGCGACATTAGGGTCAGTGCTTAGACAGTTGCGCCTCTTGAGAAAACTGAAATGAACTTAAGATGAGATTCTAAAGGTAGATTATGATGCTCAGACTACTCACTTTACTAGCCCATAGGAAGAACTACATGGCTAGTAAAATGACTTAACACCATATAAGTGTGGTATTTCAGGCTAGAGAATTCAGATAATTGCTGAATACTGATACCTGGTGTCTCTGCACTGATCCATATATCAGTGGTGTCATCTACTTCTGATTTAGTCTAGTAATGAGGGGAGGCAAAACCTGGATTTTAAAAAGTAGTAAAAGTATGCCAGTGACCGGAGAACATAAGCTCTGAAATGCAGCTCTGACAGATGCTTATCTCCTCCCTGCTTCCTGATGTGTCATCAGCGCTGTGTCCCTGAGGATCCCAGAGGTGTTTCCTATTGAGCCCAACATTCTGTGACCCTGATTTAGCACCTCTTCCTGTCTCTCTCTGTCTGCTGTTTCTCTCTCTGCCTGTCCGTCTCTCTCCCCATCTGCTCTGACAGTTTAGCTTTTCAGACTGGGTGACTCAACGCCCCACACCTTCAATCCCCACGGCAACAGAGGAGGGAAGGTCCGTTGTTCAGGGGCTCCTCACGGTCCTAGTGTCTGACAGTGGAGGTCTTGAGGGGTGGGGGTAGAGAAAACCCAATCTGTAGCCCAGCCTCTTACAGTCCAACACATGCAGGGGTGGGCCTGGAGTAGTTTTTGTATTAGAGTGTTGATTTTACTATGCATGAAAAAGACTAAAAGACTAGAGCTAATAAATATTTCATTGTAATCATGTTGTGCAACCTTATTAATGTTATTTATACTGCAACAAATATTCAAGCCATTTTCTGGGGGAAGCGTAGACGCAAATAACATTACAGCTGTGATTCAGGCTCTAGCCATGAGCTAATCAGAACCAGTGAGAACACTTTTCAACCAATCAGAAAGGATCATAATGCCTTTATTGTATGTACGTGGAATTTATGTTGGTGGAAATGGTGCGTACTAAATGGATAACATGAAGTACAAATTTTAATCAGGTCATACAAATAGATATGAAGAGGTATCACAACTATGTACTGCATTATACACAGAGTGCACACTAAATGTGTGGGATATACGTGATATTGTGGACATGTCAAATGTGCCAGGATGTGCAAAATGTTTCACTTTCATAACCTGGTTTGGGTAGAATGTATGTAATTTACATAGTAAATAAAGATTTTTGATGGGCAAATTCGTTTCTCTCTAACGTTATACATTCTCAGCTCAGAACTATGAGCTGTCTGAACTCTATAGTCCACTTATTTTTGAAATGCCTTAAATATTTGAACATCAAGTTTGACTGAAATGCCCATCCCTACAATGATCTACCATTTGGAGTCCTGTAACAGTGCAAAAATCACATTGGTTGTATTTACATGCAAATATTTTTGCCAGTCCGACTGAATACATTCTGATTATAGATTAACACTGAGGTGTTTAAATGCTCACTGTACTCAAAATCTTCATTTACATGCAGGCTAGAAGTATTCCGATCCAAAATAACATGCATACACAGAGCCACTTAGTGTGGACTTTACCATGACAATGAGAGTGAGTTAAGTTTTCAGTTGACAATGTCACTGCACCCTTGTGTTTTTAATTGCTTTAAAATGATGCCAGACTCAGGAAAACATACTTCACATGTACTTATTAAAGAAGGGCGAGAGGAAGACGTCGCATTCTGAGACACGTAAGCTGGACGCCCGTCCCACCACCGTCTTTTAAAGCTCAGATCATAAACTTCGTCTCCTCTGCAGACCAGTTTCTGCTCTGCCATGTTGAACATTATGAAGTTCTGCTATGACGCGACGCACATGAGCAGAACATACTTAAACTTTCCGATTGGGAATGTAATCAGATACAGGTGTTTACACAGGTATTATTCTTCTATTTAACAGATTATTTACAGGATTACCCACCTCGTTCAATTGGACAGAAATTGTATTCCGAATGGCCTCAATTGGACTAGACTATTCTGAATGAGGTGTATACCTGGACGTATTCTATTAGCTATCAGCTATTAGTCGGATTATTACTGGATTATTAGCCTGCATGTAAACGTGGCTGTTGTGTGGTCATTGTTGTATAATTGAAGTATTATTAAAACAAAGTGCTGCACTCTATATTGTTCATATCATAAATGATATCATATTATTACTTCAGATTGCAGTACACTACAGGAAGTGTGAAGGGCAATATGGCTTCTGTCACACTGCACTATATACCATATTGCACCATAATTTTTTGTCATGCAGACAAAACTTTAAGCAATGGTGGTGATGGGACAGGGCAAAATGAG